TTATCCTGATCCAATCATCCCACAGATAGGGGCCAGTAGGGGCCTACTCTACCTACTAGTAGGTGCAGGAGGCAGTTATCACCCATTCATCTGGCTGATCCAATACTATTCAAACCCAGCAGGTACAGAAGGTGTGTTATCCAGCAGAGCAGTCACGTGTCTGCATTTTCTTTAATTTTCAGTGGAAAAACAACATTTTAAGATATTTTTGGCATTAGAGTTCGTTGTGATCACATTTCTAGCGGGAAATGTGTACATTATTTCCATAATCTCTGTTGAATGAAGGCCTGTGATGTTTTGTTTTTTCAGGCTTCTATGGTGTCTGTTCTGTTTATGGTTGCTATGCAGTTGCTATGGGCGTCTTATCGCTGAAACACGTGAATATTGTTTTAATAATTGCATCGGAGCTGTAATGTTATTGGTGTTATTTTATGTAACTGCTCAATGACGATCTTAAAAATAAAAAACGTACATTTCAGAGTTTGCTCGTAATTTAATATTAAATCCGGCCAATAATCTAATATTCTGTATAGATGAATGCATATTTTATTCATCAAATCACAGGATTTTATAAGCACAATCATGAATGCGTTTCATTTTTTATTCCTCTGCGTTTGTTGTAGATTTCTTCTTAAAATCATTATTGAAAAAACATTCAAATATACAAACCATTGGACTACAGAGCGGTTTTAGTCATTTCCTGTCTGTGTGTCACATTGGTTTACTTTAGCCACTGCCAGTGTCATTAAATATAATTAAATATAATTAAATATGAAATATGAATATGTTAAATATAAATATAATTTAAGTTTAATTAAAATGGCACATCACGGACAGTAACAACACTGTTCATACATGAACAAATATTCATGGACATATTTATTAGTCTTCTTCACTCAAACACTGACTGCATATACTCCTGTTCCATTGATTCTGTACTGATGTTTTTACACATCCTTATGTATATTTTTTTCATTGCTTATGATATAACATTGTATATATGACTTGCATATTAAAAACTAAAGGAGATGAGTGTGTGAAAGAAACATTCAAAATGTAATGAAAAAGGCAAACAAACTGAACTGAAATAAAACAAATGAACAAATCTTTATTTTTATTCATGCACAGAGAGAGAGAGAGAGAGAGAGAGAGAGAGAGGCAGAGAGAGAGAGAGAGAGACAGAGAGAGAGAGAGAGAGAGAGAGGCAGAGAGAGAGAGAGAGACAGAGAGAGAGAGAGAGAGAGACAGAGAGAGAGAGAGACAGAGAGAGAGAGACAGAGAGAGAGAGGCAGAGAGAGATCAACATTCAACATACAGGTGTCTTAAAGACACGCAAACTAAAACATTAAATGGAGCCTATAAAATTGCTGGCAGGCTCCCAGGTGTCTTCCCAAGTTTTGCCACTGAAAAAAAAGAATGAATGCAAACAAGTGTAAGATCATTGCATATACCACAATATTAGTTTATATCAATGGGGTATCATAGAACAACAAATGACTTAGGATCGGTTTTTCAGAAGCTTGCTACTAACCAGTATGGAAGTAAGTACATATATATTTATAAAGCATACTGTAAAAAAAGCTTTAAAATCAGCTAATGTGGATCAAAGTTCTGAGCTCTTACCACGAGGAACAAGGCAGCCAGCTCACTTTTACCTCTTCTCTTCCTGACACACACACACACACACACACACACACACACACACACACACACACACAGAAACATTCCAGCAACCACTGTTAAATGAACTGCTATTTCACTCAGTCAGTTAATTACCTCCTTTAGTTGTTTCTTTTATTTCATTGTAGTGAAATATTTTTTGCTTCTAACATTTTCAGCAGCCTAAAATTATGCAAAAAAAGAAAAGAAGAAAGAAGGAGACTAAATTTAGAAACAGACTTTGACATCCCCCAGGTGAATACAGAACTCACAGGGGGTCAGCACAACCGAAGCAATGGCTGAGCTTCACCCTGGGTTTGAACCACCTTCTTGATCATGATATCTCACCTATTCACTGTTCTTTGATTGTTATTGTGGACCTGGTACACCTTGGTCAAGGTTCCGAGCTAGCTGATCTGATACTAAAAGGTGGTGTGACATTACTGCCAACCACTGATGAGTCACATGACAGTTGATGTCCTGCATAAAGCCTAGATTTTTAAAAAGCCAAACTATCATTAATAGTTAAGTTTCTTTTATTCACTCAAAAATGGCAGCCCACAACACCATGCTGTGGTCAACTGACAAAGTCCAGACTTGTCCAGAACATAGCTTCATATCCTCTGTTATGAGTAGCGTAGCTGTTTATGTGCGTAGTGTGTTGTCAGTGTGGCAGTAAATGTACAGTGTAGCTTAGAGTCTGTCAATAAAGAAAGGCTGCAGCTTCTCAAGACCAAAGTAAAGCTTGTTTCCCAACTTCATTGCTCTGACAATCACCTCTGCCTACATTGAGGGGGTCCCATCCAAAGTTCTATCTACAGTGGAAAAGGAAGTCGAGGACCCAAAAGTGAATAGAGTAGAGTTGAGCTGTACAATGCTGACGCATAGAGGAAGAGAAAAAGTGTCCATCTTGTCTCATATGTGTCCACATTAGTTTTTGTTTTATCTCATGAATAATTTATCTTCTACCTGTAGATGAGGACAAGTTAGTGAGTAATCCTTTATGTTTTTTATTGTTACTGATAATAACAGGGATTAGGGAAAAAAACTGTTCTCCGAAAAGTCTTCTGTTTGCATCGCTCTTTGCATGTGTCTGGTTCATTGTGTCTACATGCACACAAACAATATTATCATGCTGCTATCAAGGAATTGCATTGCACATTTAATTTGATGAGTAGGCTGTACCACAAAAACAAAAATACCTCTCTTCCTCTTTTTCTTCCCTTCACCTGTTGCACTGGTCAGGGAGATAGTAGGTGTGGGAGAGCAGGAGCACTGTGCAGACACACCTGTGACAAAGATGGATGACTTTAGACACATTACTTAAAATATGGCAGAAGGTGATTAATGCTAACACTCACTTTCAGTCATGGTTTTGTGAGAGGGAGATGCTGAGGCGGTGCTTGGAGGCTGGACAGGGACGAGGGTTAGGGTGTAAGTCTCCTCCTCATAGTCCATTTGGGGATGAGAAGTAGATGGGAGGAAGGTGGAAGAGTCTGGAGGATGAGGAGGAGAAGAGGGTTGGGAGGGAGAGGAGGTAGACTGTGGAGTTGGAGATGGGCTGGGAGCTTCTGGCAATTGCATCCTTTGAGAATCTGAAATAATATAAATATAAATATTACTCACAATGACAGCACATCCCAAAGCATAAATCATAAAAACAGATGTTTGCCTTACTTTCAATAATGTACTCATATGCCCTGCTCATCTTTTCTAAAAAGGGTTTTACAGGGCCGTCCCCTCCAGGGCGCATGTAGGTGATCATTTCAGCATTTACTGTGTTCACCCTCTTCTTCTTCTTCCTGATGAACAAAATTGGGTTGTAGCCAAAGGCAGCAAGCTTGCTCACCTGAAATGTACACAATTACACAAAATGTTAACATGGCATTATTATTATTACACACTGACATGTTACAATGTTTTCACTTTATTTGAATGTTATGTGTGCACCAGTGTTTGCTAATGTCTATAATCTTTTTCAAGGGTTTCTTGAGAGTTTTCTAATGAACTGTAGGTGTGTGTACATATAACATTTGTTCTGACAGAAAAGTGTGGACAGGGTTCTGTGGAGCGCTGGGATGAAGCACTTGTGCATTGAGAGAAACAAATGCTATGTTAACAGAGAGTTCACTGTCTCTGTTATTATAGTTTCTGTCTGAAATATCATAAAGCTCAGGAGACAGACATGGCCAAAACAAGTTTTCTCTCCATTTCTTTTTAGTTTAGTTCTTCGGAGATGCAAACACATGCATTGCACCCTCAGTTTAATATTTTGCACTTTCAGTTCAAATTGCATATTAATGCCAAGCATAAGTTGGTCTGGCACATGGACTGCATGAGCATCTTCATGCTCACCAGCAGCTCAATCAGCAAAAGAGTTGGATGAAGATTAATAAAGGTCAGCAGGTGTGGTGATTAATAAATACTCTCCCAGCTTGTCACATCACTGGTCTCATAGCTCTGAAACACCTGAGCTAATCAGTTAAACATGATAGCAACAGCTCAACAAATAGAAATCTTTGTCTCAGGAAATGTCTGGATGGTTCAGACAGTCACAACATGAACACACCTCACCACCAATCTGCAGCCAATGACAAATGAAGTATGATTTTCCCATAAATAGTTAATATAATAATATATAAACTGATTGATTATAGGATTATAACAAAGACTGTTTTATTTGGAATTCTAATGTATCCCACCTCATACATGGTCACATAGTTTAGTAATTAATGATATAATGTGTTTGCACTGCACTGGTCACAGTATTTAGCCATGATTCCTCTGAGGACTGGAGTTTGAGGGTATGGGTGTCCTTCTGACTCGTAAAGCAAACTGTTGCTGAAAATTACTGACACCCTGTTTAACTTACTGCTGTCTACAACTTTATTCGTCTGTGTTCAGCATAATCTGTTTATCTGGGACCCAACTCTGGATCATCATACACTGCTCTACTTTAATAGCTGTTGGCAGCTCGCACTGTAACTACTAGGGTACCACCACTAATTTGAGATGCACCTGAAGTCATTTGGTTCTGGAACCGGGCCTAGCTCTCTCCTCATTGGTGAAAAATGTGCTATTGATCAGAAAAAAATGCTATTTGGACCACAAGCCGTAATCTGTAATCTGTAAATATACAAACTATATTGTTTTATAGTTTACATTTTTAGGTACATGCTCAAAACATTAACTGTGTTTCTTACCTGTTTCTTCCTTCTACTAAACATTTTCTAAACCTGTGTTTCGCGCGAGGACAGTTAAAGTACCCGCGTTACCAAGTCCCGCAAACGAGCCGCGGTGAATGACTTCTCGTCGCTTGCACTTTAAATCATAAAACATAAGAAACAGTATTTCAGTAAAGAGAAATTAAAAATTTGTATATATGTAAATTAAAAAAGAAGTCAAAAAAGAAAACAGGAAAAAAATATATGAAGCGGCTGTAAAACTATGTGAAATAAACATATTTACTTTTTTTAAATATCAATCATCTAGATGAAGTGTAATTACTGATTCGGCTGCACTAAATGTTTGATATATTCAATAGATGTCTGATATTATGACCCTATTTTACAACCCTACTTTGAAAACCGGAAGAACAAGCTAACCCAAATCCACATTTATAAAATAACAGTTAGTATATCTGACATAAGCCAACATCTTTACTTTTTCTTAACATTAATCACATAGATGGAGTGTAATTACTAATTCGGCTGCACTTAATGTTCGATATATTCATTAAATATATATTTTTACGACCCTCTACTTTGCAAACCAGAAGAACTACAAACATGGTGCTTATTTGTATCAAGCTGCAAGGCGCTGCACAAGGGAATTGTAGTTTTTGTTTTTAATGGTACATTTCCTAAAAATGGAAATTGTAAATATTAAATTAACAGTATGCTGATAGATTTAAAGGGGTGGGAAACAGATTTATGTGATCAGATTGTAAATATGCAATTGTTAAATTGGTGGAAATTCATTTTGATCATACATGACAGTGCCCCCACTTGGTGACTATATTTATATGAATATAGTCACACAGCTGAAGTCAAGAGCTTTCTGAAACAGTTGGTCCCATGTCTGTAGCCTCTTCTGTTGCTGAATGACAAGCCTTCCAATATGCACTGAGGTCAAGGTTCAGAGGTCAATATTTCACAGTAGGAGCCACTTAAAATCTTCAAACTGACATATGTTACTCATCAGGACGAGGCCTTTCCAAAAATGTCTTTAATTTTGTTCTAGGACAAAGTTTAATTCTCACCTCTGTTTGGTGCCTCTTTCAGGTGTAGTTTCTGAGACCATTTGAGATGAACTCAAGTTTTTGGATTTTTTGCTTATATGTTTGGTAAAAACCTTCAAGGTATTGATGTTTTTCCTAATCACATTCACATTCACATTAACCAGGAACTTCCCACAACCCAGTAGAAAAATCAAACCTTACATAAGTGATTAAACATTTCAAAACCAAATGCAGAAATAACAACAACCTAATACAAAAACTACAACTGTCATCTCCAACTTAATCCTGACAATGAGCACATACGTTAGTTACTTTTTAAAGCCACATGCTCTGTGTGACCATGTGTCGCACACGGTGCACTGTGATCATGAGCACCACATCTTCCTGTTTTACATTGCATCAGACTCTGAATCTTCACAGCTAATGTCGAACTCATCTGAACTGTCCATTGTGTCCATTATGTCATCTGCTGATGACAGCACATGCAGGTAGTGTTTTCTTGTATGCCGCTGCAGCTCTCTCATTTCCCACTGGAAGGATGAGGCAGGTGTGACCCTTTGTTGCTTTCTCTGTGAGATGTCCTTAAGAAGGGATAAAATATGTCACTATCCAGGTAAATAACACGTCTTTCACAACTTAAACATAACTTTGTGAAACATTTGAATTTAAAAAAATTAAGTACAAGGCTGCATTTACTTTGCATGGCGTCTTCACTCTGATGCTGAGACAACTCGGAGAAGACCCTGGCATGGGCTTTGAGAGACTCCCAGTGCTGCTTCATTTCTTTCACAAGGATCTTCTTCTCCTCTTGAAGCCTTCGAACACCCATGACCCTATCGAAGACTTCTTTCTTTGTGCTGAAATCAGCAGAGCCTGTAATACATCAATATGAAAAGTTCAGACCACTGCATATAGCATGTAGCTTCAGAGATCATTTCTGTCATACATATGCACACTTGGTCAGAATGCAAATATGTCCACTGGAACACCTAAATGTAAGAATACTAATGATGAAATGTGTATTCACTAAAGTACTGTGCTTTAGTATAAATTTGAGGTACTGGCACTTTTCTTTTTATGCTACTTTCTTCTTCTACTGCACTACATCTCAGAAGAAAGTATTTGACTTTTTACTTCACTACAATTATTGGACAACTTCAACTTTTAGTGCTTTAAGGATACTGAACTGATTATACTGAATATTTTACTTGTGATCAGAGTATTTTTACAGTGTAGTATCAGTATTTTTTACTTTGTAAATAGACTTTATGCTTTTAAGTAAAGGATATGATACTTCTTCCACCACTAAAGAATACGCACAGTACATGAAATGCATACCACTCTGTGTAATTTGCCAAGGCCAGGGATGTTCTGTGTCCAGAACGCTATCCATGCAACGAGACTGTTGTACTCCGCTACCATGGCCTTTAAAGTGGTCTTCTGTTGCCTTATTTTTCTGCGAATTCTATGTCGGCCTTTGTTGCGGTCTGAAAAACAAAGAAAAACAATAAACCCACATTATATCTTTTAAATACACTAAGTCCATGATCTTGTTTAAGTTACAGCTGTAACAACAGAATGACAAGACATTTGCCAAACAGATGGATCATAAAAGATGTACTTATAATAACTGAACGCAAATCAATTTGTTTTGGAGAAGTCCAACACATGAAACATTACTTTTTAGAACTGTATGGACATTGTAATTATGAAGTGAGTTTGGAGACATTTCAGACTGTGATCTGTAAAGGCCTTAAATGCTAACATACCATTTTTCCGATATAGGACTTGAGCTCTCGTGTTGATGCTGGTTGTGAAGGCCTCAATCTTCTTACACAAAGCTTGTGGTGTGCCTTGATGGTCAATTTCTCCTGACAAAATTGATTGCAGGTAGCATCAACTTCACAAACGACACAAATGTTTCTCCATGTCAGATAATGTTTCACGTTCTTACCATCGGCCCATTCTTTTACTTCTTGCACAAATTCTTCCACAGTTTGTTCACCCAGTTGATGCGGGGCTTTCAGGGTTTCCAGGTCCCCAATCGGGATATTGAGAGCTTTAGATGTCTAAAATGACAAAATTATTACCATAAGCTAAAAGTCAGTACAACGTGTACAGTGTACAAATGCAACTCAAATCAGGCAAATGTTGTAACTATCACGTATCACAAGCCTATGTGCACAAAACTGTATGTGTGTTTCATTGACCTACACTGTGCCATTGCAGCAAAATAATATTGTTTCTATTTACCTTATGGTATCTCTGGGAAAGTGCAGGAGCCAGGTTTGGACTGCTGGTTCCATCTTATGGCCAGGAGTGTCAGCATGTCGTTGCATCCTGCAAGTA